GGGTAGAGGGTCTAGGGTTCAGGGTTAAGGGTCGAGGATTTAGGCCTGAAGGTCTTGGAGTTTGGGTTAAGGTTTTGGATCTTTGGCTTGGGTTTAGGGTCTAGGGCTTTAGGGACTTCATGTGTTGGAGGATTGAGGTTGCTGATTTTCTGAAGCAGATGGATAAAGGGCTTGCTAAGCCCTACGTATGGAACCCTATGATTGATGAACAAAATTGGTTTAAGGTTTAGGGACCTTGTATACCTGAACATCAGGAAACATGACGCAAAGCAGCTTATCGTCGCGAAGGATCTTGTCCCAATGGTACCGCCACTCTACCTATTACGGCATACTACGCGTCATATAAAACAGACTCTATATACCCCCCACGTCCATTGCATTGTCCATGTTCCTTTCCATCTGATTCTCACCTTAAACCCTAAGCCCCAAATCGTGTCTTCTTTTGCTATGGCTCAAATTTGCTTGCACCCTGAGACCAGGGTGCGACTCGAGTCGGAAAAGCAGCGGTTGGCTTGTGGAGCAGGTTCTTACGGGCTTAGGGCTTGGGGTTTCAAGGTGCAGGGTTTCGGGCTTGGGTTTCAGGCTTTAGGGTTAAGAATTTAGGGTTTAGGGTTTAGGATTCAGGGGCTTAGGGTTAAGTGTTTGCGGTTTAGTGCTGGGCGCCGTAGGGTCTGAGCTCTTCTCTGCACCCCGGATTTTTGTCTAGTTCCGGTTGTCTCTTAAGATCAGAACCCTCAGCTGCTGTCTGCTTCATGTTGCTGTGTAGAGTTTGGGGCGCAATAATCAGTTTAACCTCGAGGGTCTGTTTTAAGCCACGACGGTAGGGTTTATACGAGAGAGTTTTTGCGACCTAGCTTTGTGTTCATTCCAGTTTTTGGACCTTGCGTGCAACTTGGCGATGTCTGTTGCAGCGTTTGGGGTAGGCAGAATGGCGCTTACGGCTTACGGCGTTGGCTAAAAAGCCTGCTCTAACACCTCAAAAACATTGGGGCTACTACGCATTACATACTGAAGGTATATAAGGGACATAAGCTAAGTAGATTCGACATTGTACAATACAATTTTCTGGAGCCGGTGGGCATGCTTCAGCTGAGATTTCTGGGGAAACCTCTACTGCAAAGCTTCAGGCTTAGGAGTTTCGGGTTTAGGGTTTAGTTTAGGGCTTTGGAATAATGAGTTCCTGAACCCTATCCCCGCACCCCAAATTCCAAACCTCAAGCCCTGAACGCCGGTGTTTGGGGCTCCGTTAATTACCCCCAAAATCCTAAACCCTAAAGCCCAAGCCAACCCTACACTCTAGACTCTGAACCCTCAACTCGAAATCCTAAACCCTGACCTTTAGGGTTTAGGGTTTAGGGTAACCTAAACCCTGACCTTAAGCAAAACCACTTCAAGGCTAATGAAGGTCAATCAAGATGAAGCGGTGGAGTGGTCGTATAGACTGGGCTGCTGTTTATGAACCTTAAGGTTTAGGGTTTGGGGTTTTAGGGTTTAGGGTTTGGGGTTTAGGGTTTAGGGTTTAGGGTTTAAGGTTTAGGGTTTGGGGTTTAGGGTTTAGGGCCAAAGTTTAGGGTTTAAGGCTTCGGGTTAGGGCTTAAAGTGCTAGACTAATATATCAAGAGACACTATCCTTCACCATATACCTATATCATGGCAACTTAGTTAAAGTTCTCTAACAGCTACCCAGTAGAGAGGGGGGGTTAGGAAACCCTACATCATGTAGAAGCCTGAATTGCAATTACCATGTCCTCAGTTCATTGTTTTCCGTAATCACGGTATCATAGGGGACCCTAACTGGACATCAAGATTCGCACTTGTCTAGACCACTAGACTACATCCTCCAACGGTAAGATGGTAAGACCTTACCGTATACGTTCTAGGATTCTGTCCAACCTCTCCTTGCTCAACAATTTCTGACAAGTGAGTAGTGTTTTTTGGTGGTTGAACCTAGTAAGATAATATTCCTTATATAAAATACTATACCCCAAAAGGAGGATAGAATCTTAGTCAAAATTAGGTACCATAGTATCCCCAAATAAAATACTACTCAAGTGTTGTTCATCTCCGGGGCATGTGCTAGGCCGGATCCCCAGTAGCCTAGGACTATAAAGGTACCTCTTTTTGAACATAGCCTAATTATATAGAACCCTAAACCCTAAACCTTGAACCGCAAACAGCCCTATGTAGGGTTTCCTTGCTTGCAGCAAAGACATTTCTGGCTGAGGCAAAGCCCCTGTTCAGCTTCAATTTGGGTTTAGGGTGTAGGGATTAAATTTTACGGATTAGAGTTTAGGGTTTGGGGTCTAGGGATTTGGGTCTACGGGGCTGATCTCCAGGTCCTTTGGGCACAGTATTTAAGATTCTTGTAGGCCTGCCAAGGAAAATATAGAGGAAATCATTTCTCAGAAGGACCTTGTGAGAAAAAGAATTTGGATCTACTAGCATATTTACGGTTTGGGGCTTAGGGTATAGAGTATAGGGTTTGGGGGTTAGGCACTAAGTGGGACTCTAATCTTAAAAGCGCCGTTTTTGGACTGTGTTCTATGTAAAGCACCGTGCAGCATGCGGTCATGTGAGCCATTGTCTCTTATAATAGTCACCTATATACCCCCCTATAGAACCCCACTTTAAGGAGTTTAGACTATAGCTCATGAACCCTAAACTATAGGGGTCCATCCCTTCACTCGCAAATACAAGTTCAGTAATTCCTGGCAACATGCCCAACTTACTTAATTGAGTGCGGCCATGACAAGCACATAAACCACTACTGTCAGTCCAATTCTCATATCTGGCGCCCCAGGGTTTGCGGTTTAGGGACCCTAAACCCCTAATTAAACCCGAAAACCTAAACCCTAAGCCCTATTCTAATGCCTGGCCCTCGACACGCACTGTGGCAAACGTTTTTACGCGGCTGTGGGAAAGCTGATCTTGCAAAGCATGCTGCTCCATAGGGGGTTCCAAAAATTAGGGGCCCCTTTTTGAACCCATGATGAAGACTATTATATATACATATATGCATAGGTCTTTACTTCTGCTCCGTCTATGGAAACTACCTTCAACCCTAAAACCGAAATCCTAAACCCTAAACTCTGAATCCTAAACCCTAAATCCTAAACCCTTAAATCCTGACCCCGTAAATCCTAAACCCTAAATCCTGAACACCCTAAACCACCATAACCCCTGGGCTCGCCCATGCTATACGCTCATCAGCTGACAATGGACATGGCGGCTGTCGCCACCGTATTCAGGATGCCCCCAGGTCGCCACAGCTCCAGATTCCAAAATAGCAGCAAATGCCTCAACTGGGTTGCTGTTAAGGAACTTGATTGAAGTTACTATATTGGGGAAACCATATTAACTACCCATTATGGCAACTTAATTCAAAGGTCCTTAACAGCAACCCAGTTAGTCCCAAATACCTCGCAACAAAGAAGCACCCACTTGGTTACCCAGACCGTATTCATACAAGGAACACCAAACCCCGAAAACGAAAAAAGAGCGGTAAACGCTGGACCATGAACTCCTAGCGCCTAAATCCTAAGCCTCAACTGAAAGCAGGAATACTTGTAAACCAGGCTGTCCCTTTCAAAACCCTAAACCCTTAAACCCTAAACCCTTCAAAGCCCTCAAAACTGCATTGGTACAGGCCATTCTTCAAGCAATCCCAGGCTGCTACGTACTGCACTTGGAAGGGCAGAAGGGGGACTTGGTAAGTCTACTTGTGACCCCGTTTAGGGTTGTAAGGTTTAGGACTTAGGGTTTATGACCCCTACAAGCCATCTAACACTAAAGCCTTTACTAAATCCTAATCCCAAAATCCGGTTAATCAACCTACTTACCAAATCCCCTGACACGCCAAGAAGGATTCATAACATTGACCCAAATGCCATATTAGTAGCCTGGATTTGCTGCACATTCATCAGCGACTCTGCGCTACTGTCACCACCTGAAGATTCAGGGGATTTATGAGTTTAGGGCCTGAAGGCCGCAAGGGCTCAGGGTTCATGATTTAGTGTTCGGGATTCATACTCCTAAACCCTAAACTGCGTTCGTACTTCCGCTGATGCAGCCGCAGGCAGTACAAAGCTTCTGATGGTGACACTGAAATGAGGAGCTCCAATCCGTGAACCGCCTAAACCCTGAACCCTAAACCCGTAAAACCCCGAAACCACTAAACCCTGGACCTCAAACCCTATACCCTCACCTAGGTCCGGATCACCCCAGGTTACCACAGATCCATCTGCCAGAATGGCCGCGAAAGCACCTTCAGTCGCCTGGATGTGCTGCACGTTCCTAAGCTGTTCCTGGACCGCGCTGCTGTCGCCACCCATATTTGGATCGCCCCATGAAACTACGCGTCTTGTGCCAGTTATTGCAGCGAATGCCGATCCGGTCGCCTGGATGTGCTGCACGTTCCTAAGCTGCTCCTGGACAGCGCTGCTGTTTCCACCAGAGCCCGGATCACCCCAGGCCACCACGGACCCATCTTCCAGAATAGCAGCAAATGCCCCCCTCGTCCCCTGTATATGCTGCACGTTCCTGAGCTGCTCTTGGACAGCGCTACTACTGCCGCCGGCAAACGGATCACCCCATGTGATGATGTGTCCATTATCGACAATCGCCGCGAATGCAGATGCATTTGCCTGTACGCACTGCACATTCTTCAGCTGCCTTTGAACCTCGTGGCTCTGACTTCCATATTCATGATCACCCCATGTCACCACAGATCCAGTGCGCAGAATGGCACAGAATGCTGAACAGTTCGCCTGTATGCACTGCACGTTTCTGAGTTGCTCCTGGACGCCGCTGCTGTCACCGCCAAAGTCTGGATCACCCCAGGTTACCACAGATCCATCTGCCAGAATGGCTGCGAATGCACCTTCAGTTGCCTGGATGTGCTGCACGTTCTTGAGCTGTTCCTGTACAGCGCTGCTGTCGCCACCCAGTTTCGGCTCACCCCAAGTAATTACGGATCCATCGGCCAAAATGGCAGCAAATGCACTTCCAGTTGCCTGGATGTGTTGCACCTTCCTTAGCTTCCCCTGGACTGCGCTGCTGTCACCGCCCGATTTCGGGGGGCCCCACGTTGCCACGGATCCATCGTCCAGAATGGCCGCAAATGCAGCATGAGCGGCCTGGACTTACTGGTAGGTGGTATCGGAACATGGGAAAATGTGTAGGGTTTAGGATGTAGAGAATAAGGGAATAGATGATAAGTATATCGGGAGGTGATGCAGGGATTGTTTTTCCTAATTCCAAAAACCAGAAAGGTATGCATATTACAAAACAACACTGGCTGAAAAATGGGAACTATAAGGGATATATTGTGAGGTATAACCTGGTCATAACTTGAGACCCTGAACCCTGAAACCTAAACCTATGACCCTAAGCCCCAAACCCTGAACCACAAAACCCAAGCCTAAACCTATAACTTGAATGTCTAAACCCTAAACCCTAAATTCTACACCCTAAATCCCTAATCCCTGAGTCCTAAACGCCTAAACCCAAAACCCTAAACCCTAAACCCTAAACCCTGAACCCTAAACCTTAAACCCTAAACCCTAAACCCTAAACCCTCAACCCTCCTCGAGCCTGGACGTGCTGCGCGTTGCGAGGTTGCTCTGGGACAACCGTGCAGTCAACATCTCCGCCCCATGCAACAACCTCTCCGTCGCCTCGGTTCCTAGGTTTAGGGTGTAGGATTTAGGGTTTAGGGTCTAGGGCTTAAGGTTTAGGAGCTTAGGGTTTAGGAGCTTAGGTTTTAAGATTTTGGGGTTTGGGGTTGCCGTCTTAAGGGAGCTCTATGATGTACTGAAGGTCCGGTATCTTACTTCAAGGTCCTTGATCGCAGCCAAGTCGCCCATTATTGCTGAAAATGCGCTGCCCGACTTTCCTGGGTTGCTGTTAAGGAACTTAATTCATGTTGCCATACTGGGGAACCACACTAATTACTATATATACCCAATATGGCAACCCTAAACCCTAAACCCTACACATATATATATATATACCCATTATGGTAACTTAAATTAGGTCCAATGACCCTAAACCCTAAACCCAACCCAGTTTCTGCTGGCAACCATGGTCCGCCTCACTTGCAACGTCAAACTGTCGCCTGGCTTCAGACCAGCTTCCTTACTCCGGGGCGTAGGGGGCGTAGGGGGCTTAGGGTTTAGGGTTTAGGGTTTAGGAGGGAACGAAGGATTAGGAAATAGGAACTGGGGCTTAGGGTTTAGGGCTTAGGATTCTAAATCCTTCGCCCTACAATCTTAGCCATGAACCCTTTAAACCCTAAAGCCTAAACCCTTCAACCCTGGAAAGTATGTCGAGGACTATTACAGTTCCGGAGGTAATTTCACAGATTCTGTGCTAAGAGCAAGTAAGCTTCCTTCTCGGTTTGCCCTTCTTCAAGGATCTGCCCCCTCGAATCGCGCAAGACCCCCCTCCCTGTCTCCAGGGCATCCTGCGCCTCCACCTTCAAATATTTCAGCGGGCGCTCGCTACCTTTGCTGGCGGAGTAAAGACGAGCGGAAGAATGGCTCCCTAGAGTAGCCCTAACGCACCACTTTTAAAATACTACCTATTCACCCTAATCCCTAAAGTGTCCTAGATCCTCAACCCTGAACAATACAGTTGTTCACATCGTCTTTTCCATGTGGTTCATCTTACTGGATGTTAGCAGGAAATGAGGAAATATACTATATAGGGATTCTATTTCCCTTATCCCTACTGAGCACCAATAAGTTCTTGCCACCCTAAACCCTAAACCCTAAACCCTAAATCCTAAACCCTAAACCTTAGGCCCTAAACTCTAAACCCTAAACCACAAAGCTACGGTGGGGGATCCGCACAGACTTGCCGCTCATCAGGGACACCTCAATGGAATCCGACTCCATGGCTCGCGAGGTGCAAATTTGTCTGGGCTATGGTTTTTCAGTTTAGGGTTTAGGGTTTAGGGTTTCAGGTTAGGGTTTAGGGTTTCAGGTTTAGGGTTTAGGGTTTCAGGTTAGGGTTTAGGGTTTCAGGTTTAGTGTTTATGGGGTTTAGGGTCTAGGGTTTAGGCTTTCAGAGGTTAGGGTTTATGCAGAGGTTAGGGTTTATAGGGTTTAGGGTTTAGACTTTAGGGTTTAGGCTTCAGAGGTTAGGGTTTATAGGGTTTAGGGTTTAGGGGTTAGGGTTTAGAGTTTAGGATTTAGGCTTCAGAGTCTAGGGTTTATGGTTCATAGGTCATAAATATTACCTCCCAACAGTGGAGAATCCAACGGAAAGGAAAATAAAAAATGAAATGGAAACCCTAGGTCCCTTTAAAGGGGTATATGAGGGTTACATGGGGCTTTAGTGACAATACCCCCAATAATCGTGGAAAAGCAAACGGAAAATCAAATGAAAGATCAAATGAAAACTGCACTTTGCACGAATATGTTGGGGCGCAGGGGTCTATTTAGGGTTTAGGGTTTAGGGTTTAGGGTTTAGGGTCTGAGTCTACTTGGAGGCCCAGGGGACTTAGTAACTACTTATAACTGGGATTATAACCCTACTCATAATCGGGGGTAACCCCTATAAGCCCATTTAGGGGGAGAATAAGTAAGCAAATAAGCACTGTTATAAGTAGTTACTAAGTCCCATGGGCCTCCAAGTAAGGCTTAGCGTTTGCAGTTCAGCTGCAGCTATCACCCGCACGAGAGCAAGAGACAGGCGGCAAAAACTTCTTTAGACAGTTGTCACCGCGACCGCGGTCAGGGTTGTACAAGTGACTCCTTTTTGGCAATTAGGGTTTAGGGTTTCTTTGGTTTGGGATGATCCATATTGTTGTCCGTAACAATGTAGGCTTCAGGGTTTAGGGTTGAGGGCTTGGGAAACCCTAAACTCAACCCCTACCCCTCCCATAATTTTGGAGGAACCTACAGGGGGCGTAGTAGGGTAATCCATACCCAGACCCCCTAAAGCATCCAAAAATGCAACCTCCCAATAATTTCCTGAATGTCCTAATGTAAAACTGGGTGGTCACTTTCGGGGAGGGGGGGGGGACCCATGTTTTTTGGATCCTTTAGGGGGTCTGGGTAACGATTCCAACCCTAAACCCTAAACCCTAAACCGTTGGTTCTACAGTTTCGGCGCCGCTGTGGACATGGACCTTCTGCCTAAGTATGGATTACCTCCATCTCTAGACTACCCACTTAGGGTTTACGGTTTAGGGTTTAGGGTTTAGGGTTCAGAGGTTCCAGCTTAACTCCTCTCAATCTTGCATGTATTAAGGTCAATTATGCAGGAACTGCAGGGGATAGTATAGGGCAAGGTGGTTCGGAGAACCCATAATGGTGAGGTCTCTCTTGAAGGAAACCAAAGGGAACTCTCAAGGGTTGTTACAAGAGCCCACATCCTGCTCTGGGAGTACGGGTGATGAGCAAAAAGTAGCCCAGTGTATCCTTCAATTATCCCCAAATAACCGTCCTCGAATCTGGAAAGGTACATATTTCCCTGCCACAATCCCCCTGAACTCGAGTAAGCTACTGGCCGGGTCTCAGGCTTTCGCGCCGCAGTCGCCGCAGGTGCAAATCCGTTACGATAAGCCGCCAAGCACCAATCCATTCACACGCAATTAGCTGTATTTAGATGCCCCGCGACCCCACTCAACCTGTGACCTGCACGAGTATCAGTTTATAGCTCAGGCTCAGATTAGCGTTCTTTTTGCCACGTCGTTGCCTGCTGCTGCTGCTAGTGCTAGCGCTAGTGCTACTGGTACAACTACGATTACTGCTACCGCCACCGCTAAGACACCACTGCTACTACCATCACCAGTACTACCGCCACTGCTGCTGGTGCTGCGATTACTACTGTCTACTGGTATGGTGCTCCCGTCGAAACTGACAAAAACCCACCCGCGAATGATAAATCATGAGGCCAGTCTCATATGCAATTTACGTTGTCGTTTGGTTTACTCTTCTC